AGCACGACTGATGTCCTGGTGAACTTGGAGGTCTATATTCGTACTGCTTTTGCTGCGAAGACCTCCGTTGTTGCCGTCCTTTTTGACCTGGAAAAGGCTTATGACACGACTTGGAGATACCATATTCTGTCCCAACTTCGTTCTTTTGGCCTTCGTGGTAATCTCCCTCTCTTCCTTCAAAGCTTTCTCTCTCGTCGTACCTTTCGAGTCAGACTTGGTACCACTCTCTCTGCCTCATTTCAGCAGTATGAAGGTTTACCCCAAGGTAGTGGTCTGAGTACTACTCTTTTTCTAGTTGCCCTCAATGGTCTTCTTTCCTCCCTTCCTTCTGGCATCTTCTCCGCTCTTTATGTTGACGATCTTACTCTTTGCTGTCAAGGTGATGATTCACCTCTCCTTCAACGGCGGCTTCAACTTGCGATTGATGCCGTGTCATCTTGGGCCACCAAGCATGGCTTCAAGTTTTCTACTTCTAAGACTTGTGCCATGACTTTTACTCGGAAGCGGGTCGTTCTTCGTCCCTCTTTGTCACTTTATGGTCATCCCCTTGAATACAAAGGTTCCGCAAAGCTTTTGGGGTTATTCTTTGACACTCTTTTGTCTTGGTCGCCCCATATCTCTTACCTGCGTTTTGAATGCTCTAAGGCCCTTAACCTACTTAAGGTTTTGTCCCATACTTCTTGGGGAGTGGATAGGCGCACGCTCCTCTATTTGCATTCCTCCCTCGTCCTGTCTAAACTCGATTATGGTTGCCCTGCATACTCTTCTGCTTCTCCTTCTACTCTTCGCCGTTTTGATCCTTTGCACCATACTGGGTTGCGCCTCAGCTCTGGTGCTTTTCGTTCAACTCCTGCCCTCAGCTTGTACGCTGACACTGGCTTCCTGTCTCTCCAGGACCGCCGTGATTGCTACAGTCTTCGCTATCTTTCGCGATCCTTCCAGCATCCTCACTCTCGCCTCTATCGTGCTTTGACTTTTACCCCTCCTGTAGTTCCTGTTCCTCTTCACCACCTCCCTCTTTCTGTCCGTTTAACTCGCTTACAAGATTCTCTTTCAGTTCATATTACCAATGTTTCTCCTCGTATTGTTCCATCCCTGCCCCCGTGGAGGGTCCCCCATCCCAAATTTTGTACTTCTCTCACCCGCATTACTAAAGCTTTTACCCCTCCTACCGTTCTGAAACGCCTCTTCCTTGAGCACTTTTCTTCTCACTCCCACTCCGTTCCCATCTTCACCGATGGGTCTAAGTCTGCTGACGGTGTGGGCTACGCCGTTGTTTTTCCTGACCACACTTATATGTGTCGCCTTCCTCCGGAGGCTAGCATCTTCACAGCAGAACTTTATGCTATTCTCTATGCTCTTCGTCTCCTGCTTTCCCGGTGTCAATCCTCCTTTGTGGTGGTAGTTGACTCTCGTAGTGCCCTCATGGCTTTAGGGTCCTTTAATCCGGTCCACCCGGTGGTCATCGAGATTCAACATTGGCTGTTTCTTATCTCCAGTAAATTTAAGTCGGATGAGTTTTGCTGGGTTCCCAGCAATGTTGGTGTCTCTTTAAATGAGCGTGCGGATGCTGCCGCTAAGGAAGCTATTCGCACTTGTCCCATCTCCTGTAAAGGTATTCCTTATTCCGACTTTTATCCAGTTATTCATTCTCATGAATACCCGAGGTCTCCTTCTTGAGCCGTTTATCCTCTTTTCTTCCTTGTCTCTTCTGAATTCTAGTGAGCCCACGCATTTGAACTCTCGGACTCGCACCCTTTCCTGTCTTGATCTTTCTCTTTGCTCTTCTTCTCTTAACTTAGATTTCACGTGGCAGGTTCTTGATGACCTCCATGGCAGTGACCATTTCCCCATCCTTGTTTCCTTTTTCTCTTTTCGTCCTCCCCTCTCCTTCCCTAGGTGGCAGTTTGCTAAAGTGGACTGGAACCTATTTATTCTCAGTGCTGCTCTCTCTGACCTCTCCCTTCTGCCTCTCCCTCGCGCTCTCCTCCTTTTTCATGACACTGTCTTCGACGCTGCCCTCCGCTCTATTCCTCGCTCTTCTTCTCGGGGTCCGCGGAAGTGCGTTCCCTGGTGGAATGCAGACTGTGCTCGGGCTGTCCGCTGTAAGCACCGACAGGCGGTGGGGAGAGTCAAGAGACGGAGGGGAAGGATGGGAAGGAGGAACGGAGGGAGACGAGGAAGAAGACACGGGAGACGAGACAGACTGGGTAGAAAGGAGGGGAACCCCAGACAGAGGACCAGGAGGTGGATCCTTCGGGACAGAACTCAAAGGAACAGAGGAGGGGGCAGTGGGCGTATCAGGGTCCAAGGCCCGGAAACGGTTGAGAGTCTGAGGAAGATGGGAAGACTGAGGAGAGGAAGAGCTCAACACGCGAGCATAAGAGACGTTAGCATAAGGCGGGAGCCGGCGAACCTGGCGCCTCGCCTCAGGAAAAGATAAACGTTCCCGGTGCTTCAAGTTGAGGACGGCCGCCTCAAGCTTGTAATGGACACACGCACGGGAGAAGGTGGGATGGGCCTCACCTCAGTTGAGGCAGCGAGCTTGGGGAGAAGTGCACTCCGACTTAGAGTGACCTTCGCCACCACACAAAGGACAGAGAGAGTCACAGAGCAGCGGAGGGCACCATGCCCAAACCTCCAGCACTTGTTACAGAGCCTAGGAGAAGGAATGTACTCCTGGACAGAGCACCTGGCACCAGCAAGAATGACAGAGGGTGGAAGGGTCCGACCATCAAAGGTAATCTTCACAACCCGAAGGGATTGACGGCGACTACCACGAGGGGGACGAGTAAACGTGTCCACCTGGAGAACAGAATGGCCCTGGGCATCAAGGATATGCCGAATATCATCGTGGCAATCCTGCAGATTTCGAACACCGGTTGCAACATGGGGTGGGAGGAGAATAGTGCCAACACTGGCATTCATCCGAACGTTCTTGGAGACCCGAACAGGGATCTCGCCAAGGCAAGATAAGGCAGCCAAGCTGGAAGCTGCATCCCTAGGAGCAGCAACGACACGTATACCGAGACGAGTGGGGTTGAAGGTAACAGACGCATCCACGGAATCTACAAGATGCCGATGGAGGGAGAAATCGTCAGGAGGCGCAGAATCAAGAGGGAGGAGATCAAAGTATTTGGCCCATGAAGCGGGACCAAACAAGGCCTGATACGCGTCAGTACGGGAAGGAATCGAGCGAGTGCGGCCGGGGCGCGAACGGTGTTGAGAACCCCCAGAGAGAGAAGGGTCAAAAGGCGCAGTAGTCACGAGAGACTTAGCCGCACCAGGGGACGAAGTGGTCACCACTGAGGGCTGGGGGCTCATCCCAACCACAGAGGGAGGGGAACTGGGGGAAGAAGTCAGGATGGTCAAAGGAGGAGCAAGGTCGGGGCCCAACGCAACGGAGGCTACAAAGCCCGGTCTTCCAAGATAGGCCGACTCGGGGGCTTGGTCGCCCACCCCACGAGCCCGAGAGGGCACATCAGAAACATTTGACATAGGTACGAAGTGTGATAAATTCATCCACGAATGTGCCCCCATACCCACCATGGAGCCACAATTAGAGGCAGGACACCCAACAGGAAGCTATCGCCGATCTTGCCGGCCCCCCCTCCCCCCCCAGGGGTGCGTCGTGAGTATACGCCCCACAAACGCCACCTTAAGAACAGTCAGTCCGTCGAGATCGGGTTCAGTGATGGAAGGAGGATTGACAATAAAAGGTTCCCCTCGCTCTCGACGTTGGGTACTACAGTTCTACGGGTGCAAGAGTATGCCTCCTCAAGCACCCGGGCGTCAAAATGTAAGAAGTTCAAAGGAATAACCAAATCAAGCAAAAGGTCAGCAGGAAACAAGCAGATAGAAGAGGGAGAAAAACCAAACAGAAGGAAAAGGAAAAGTTGTTCACCACAGTTTGAGAGAACAGCAGCAGGATCACAAGGCTACAAAAGGACAGAGGACTGTCCCAAGGAGCATCATACTCCGGCAGCCGCCCACTAAGCCCCCCCTCACGGTGTCAACGAGCTGAACGGGGAGTGGGGCCAAATATTGATAACGTCATGGCATTAGTTTATTTGCGGGTTTTATTGTATCTTAATTTTTGCTTTCAAAATTATATTGATTTACCGCTGTAATGTCTTTTCCATAATATCCCCTATTAAGTCATTTACTAAATTTCCCTTCAAGGCAGAAAATTTAGTACTTTCATTTGCTATATTGCAGCTATTTGTAGAAGTAAAGAATAGCGTTATTTATGGCTACTTTTTATTCTGAAAGTGGCTGTTCTGTAAATGACTAAGTCAGTCAAAGTTATTATGCTAATGTACTGTTAAACTCCAATTTATATGTAGTTAATACTATGTATGAAAAGTTTTCACTTAAATTGCTAATGGTCATCTATTTGATGGATAATGTTTGACAGTTCAACAGTTGTTTAGATTGTAGTTAAAGTTCAGTGTAGTTTCGTTATGGTCAGCTCAAAAGCAAATATCAAAAGGATTCAAGATTGGGGTAATGACATTACCCACTAGAATTAGAGGCATGAACAAACTAGTAATTAACCGTCACGCTTGGCGACGTAATTATAGTATAGGCCGAGCCGGTTGAAAATCAAGTAGATAGTATAGTTAACCGTTTTAGATTTTTTTTAAATCCCGAATATCAAAATTAGCAACATCTTGCCTGTAGTATATTATCGCTATTTTAGTGTAAATTTATTACAAGGGGTGGGTTATAGATTGGTAAAATTGTATTGGTAATCAAGATGCAGCCGACAAAAAAAAAAAAAAAAAACATAATTAACTTTATACTAGCAAATAAAGTTAAACTTTGGTAAACAAATGGCAGAGTAGACGAATTAACTAAAAAAAGTATGAAACTAGACTGGTAGCCAAGTATACAATTAAAATAGCTTTCTGTAAGTTACCTTCGTAGAAGGTTTAAAAGATGTCAAATATTTAAACCACGCAAGTTACTGGTTTAATAGGCAACAATGAAAAGCAGTGGCAAAGAGTTACTTTCATTTTAAAAATATCAGTTTAATACAAACATAAGGAATTTTATTTAAAACGGTCCTCCTTCGTAATTATTTTTTCGGCAGTCACCTAGTGACGTTGTCACGAGATTTAGAGGTCAAGGAGAAGACCACGTAGAAACCATTCTTCAAGACTTAAAAAGCCAAGCGCCTAGAAAAGAAAAAAAAAAGTTAAAAATTAAAAGGCAAGAATTAAATATTACTACACGAGATTTCATAGTTACTAAAAATATTAAGTACTTACCTTCCTCTAAAATAAATGCGACAGTAACAGATGCAAATCGCGATCAAGCAAATTGTAATTAGAAGTATGTTGAGAGCGTATACGTCTATAGCGTAGTCGTCAGATTTTAAGTACGGCAAATATTCAAGAGTTTCCGACCTATGGTTATATTGCACCCAAGCATCCGTTAAGTGCTCTTCATCCTTCCTCCGGATTATACCATTTGTTTTAGTTATAATTTTATTAGGAATATAGGGACGAGGCGTTGATAGATAAGCACTCTTGATACCAGCCTCATGAAGCTCTTGCACAAGAACATTAGCCAATATTTCCGCTAAAACCTCCATTTCGTCCCGTCAACTGTATCAAATACCCGAAGTTGTTTGAGGAGCAGTTTTCACGTGATCCAATCTGATGCGCGGCTGTTGGGTGACTGGCCGCAATCTCGTTGGTGGGGAAACACGAAACTTTAGTTTTTGAGCAAACCAAATGTTTGAGGCTTTGAAAAGTCCGATTCGCGAAACACCATTTTGTTTATACCTAAATGTGTTATCTGCATTGTGCAGCTACCCTAGACTATATGAAGTGGAGTTACAGTGTATGTCAAAAAAAAGTAGTTACGTGATGTTAAAAATCCCCATCACAGGATGGTTAGTCATACAGAGGCATGTGATAAGTAGTTATAAGTGATAAGTTGGCACTGGCAAACTCTGGATGCATTATGAGGATATCATGAACACAAGAATGAATAATGTGGCAGTGATACTAAAAGTCCCCATCTCGCAGGATGGTTAGTCATACAGAGCCATATGTTCAGTAGCCTGCATTGGCAAATTTTGGGTACATTATGAGGATATCCTCAAGAACACGAGAGAGTGAATAAAGCAATTGCAAAGCTCCAGGTACCTCATGCCAATGAGTCTGAATGGTCGGATAACTGGGCATTCGGTGATGTAATGTGGGAGATTATGTTGCAGTTCCTCCTCACAGAGTTTTCACCTGGTGTGCTCAGGATTGGGAGATCCGTCACCTGTAGCCACCTGCTACAGGTAACGGTAACCCAACCTGATAAGACAACCACTGTGTCGCACAGTCTGGTGGACGGTTTGTGCTGTCCATAAACATAGGTATCAGATCTGAACAAATCATAGTTTTTTATACTATATAGTTTTGACAGCAGAGACGGGGATACCTAGGTCTGATTCAACTTCATCTTTGTTACACGCTAATTTAGCCGCAATGACTGTCATTATGATGGGTTATATTTATGTGATGGTTTCCATACAAAGGAGGTTCAAAACCATCCTGCGAGATGGGGACTTTTAGTACCACTGCTGCCTTATTCACTCTTGTGTTCATGATATCCTCATAATGCATCCATAGTTTGCTCTGTGAAGCAATTAGCTTATTTATAATTGTTAGTATGAGGTTTTTGCTTCGAGCTTCCGGGAGAAGTTTTCGATTGCTTGAAGAGCAAACTTTGAATCACAAAATATTATTACTCCTCCTGTGATTTTTAATGTACTAATAGCTAGTTGTAGTGCCGCTAGTTCTGCTTGTGTGGAGGTCAGCCCGTTGTTTAAACTGATACTGATAGCCTGCGTGCAAATATTATTTATATAAAACCTACATGCTGCTGCAGTCCGTTCAGTAGAAGATGGGACAGCCGTCAGTGTAAAAACAGTGCTCGTGAGATCTCAAATTTTTGATGGAGGAAACTATTGTTTCAAGTATGACAGCTTTGAGAAAGAGCAAGATTCTCATTTACCTTTATTGATGACGGATGTGTATGATACTTAAATGGTGGGGGTACAGATAAAGAGGAATATCAGAGATAGGTAGATTGCACTTAAAAGGAATGTTAAGTTTGATAAGATTGTAGGCATTTTCACTCCGCCATTTATTTTAAAAGGAGTGAGTTGGTATGTTGGCACCAGCCAATAGGGGGCTAACAGCACTGAATAATGTGTCTCTTGAGCATTACAGGAGATATAGGGTCTCCCATGACTAAGGCAAAAGGTCGTGTTGACTTGCATGATTCTCTCTAGTATGGTTGGAAGCATCAGTTCTTCCCTCATGTTGATGATTCTTGTGCATCTTGGGGCACCAAGAATTATCCTCGTGGCTTCATTCTGTACTACTTCAAGTTTGTCCAGTACAGAGGCGGGGAAGTTAATTAGGTGCAAAGCATGATAATCACCTAGAAATCTAACAAACATCATATAGAATAATCTGGCATATTTAATATTGATACCAATATTCTTACCAGTAAGTGTTTTCAGTGGTTTAAGTCTTTCTTTTAACCTACGGTGTAGATTTATTTACTTATTTATTTATATATATACAAGAAGGTACATTGGGATTGTGAGGATACATAGTATAGTAATTACATTCTTGTAAAGCCACTAGCACGCGCAGCGTTTCGGGCAGGTCCTTAATCTAAGAAAATTTTAAGTAGGTAAATACTTGCCAAATTTATAAAAATGATAACAGTTACATAACAAGAAAAAAAATATAAGATGAGAGAAAATTGTAGGTATATTAAAGCACATAGGTAGCTCAGACTGATTGCAATGACAGGTTGAATGGTAGTTAAACAAAAACTAGTAGGCACAATACAGCATATGGCTAGCACATAAAAGAAGACAGCAATGAACACAATGATAAAGTTGTTTGGATTAAGTACATAAAGATTGGGTAACACTAGATACAGAGCAAATTTAAAGCTCAGTGTAGGAAACTACGAAGATGAAATTAGGTACTTTTTGGTTTTGTTTTTAAATGAGACAAAAGTTTGACAGCTTTTCAATTCACTAATGAGTGAGTTCCATAGACTAGGTCCCTTAATTTGCAGATCGTTTACATCGTTTACAATGTCACTGTTGATACCAACTCCAAGGTATTTGTGTTGCCCACACGTTTCAATGTTCTGGTTGTTGACCTTAAAAGTTATAGGGACAAGAGCTTTCCCTTGGGAAATGGAGAGCTCTGAATTTAGTTATAGGGATAACAAGACCACATTCAATGCTTTTAGCAGCGAGTGATTCAAGTAGAGCTTGCAGTCTAGTTTGGGTATTTGCAACAATGCATATGTCATCGGCATAACAGATGACGGTTTCGTCAGGTAGTGTGGGAATATCAGTTGTTATTTTGTGCATCAGAACATTGAACAGTGTAGGATTAAGCACTCCAACCTGGGGTGTACCCAACTCAAAGAGTGCACAATGTTTACGTTTGACCCCCTTGAAAAGGACTGAGGCGGTTCTGTTACTCAGGTAACCCCTGAGCCATGTAAACAGTTCCTTAACTCCAAAAGAGGCTAGTTGTTCTAAGATTATTTATCTGCTGTATCAAAAGCAGTTTGGAGATCAATAAATGCCGCCAGAGAGCTTGGTTACCCTCTAATAAAATATTCAGCAAAGCAAGTTTGTGTGCTGACGAGTCACAATAACGTGACTGAAATATGTTGACCAAACTACAAACTAGAATAGTGAAATAGACTTGAGAATGGTCCAGGACGGACCGGTCGTCGTCCCTTCACTTTCTAGTGTGTGGTTTGATCAACAAGTTTGTGTGCTTCTTCCAGGAAGGAAACCATACAGGTTAGAAGCAAGGTGGGGGTTGATTTGAAACATTAGTCTGTCGAGTATAATCCTCTCAAGATCTTTACACATCCACGATGTCAGAGAGATGGGTCTGAATTTTTGTGAATTAGGCTTGGGTATGGGTATTAGGAGTCCGTGTCCAGCGGTCAATCAAGACACCCTGCCTTAGACTTTGATTAAACAATTCTAGCAAAGGGCTATTTAGCAGCGCAGCAAGTACTCTCGTCGTATTATATGTTATGCCATCCTCTCCAGGAGAGGTAGCCTTACCTTTCTTGAGTGCATCTTTTTTTTTAAAGGGTGTTTTGCCATAGTTATCATCAGGCCCTATTTCACTACAGGCAATTTCAATATTGAAGTAACGATTTATTTTGGTACTAGTCAGATGGTGTTGTACATCTAGGGACAGGCTGCTTATACCGGCAGTGCTTGCATATTGTTGAAGCAGCATGTCGGAATAGTCTGCCGGTGAGTGGTGATAAAGTTGACGATTGTTAGCATGATAAATATTTTTAATTTTATTCCACATTTGGGATGAGGATGTTGCATGATTAATGCCTTGCTAAAACAGTTCCCAGTGCTGGTTATACACCTGTTCCTATAGCTCTAAACTCTCGGTTGGTCTTAAGAAATATGTTGAGGATGTCAGCTGTTTTGTGCGCTTTATACTGTTCAGGTAAGATGAGAACTGTCATGCAGGGACTTAAGGCGTAAGTCAGTATCACGCCTGTCACTTCTGTCCCTTCCTTGCTGTGTTGGGTCTTGTGGATTTTACAATATAATCATAAGGACCTGGAGTTACCAATTTTTATAATGTATTAACGGTAGAAATACAGTAAGTTATGTCATTCAGAAATGCGGTATTTGCAAGTTAAATAAATTCAGGGATATTTATTAATTTTTTTTCAAAGCATTTAGGTTTGACATTAGTTATGGTGTATGAACTTTAAAAATGGCAAAAATCATTAATTCGTGAACCATTGAGCCTCTTACAGCATTATCCACGAGATCGTGACTAATGACATAATAAAGTTTGCCACCCATGAGGTGTGTGTGACGTTAGACGAGTTAAAAGTTAAATATCTTAGACAATAGCATGTCAGTATTTAACAAAAAAAAATTATCATCAATTCTATTTGTTTTGGTGTCACCCAAGCCAGTGTGTCTAGCATTAAAAATCATCCATGACAATGAGTTGAGAGCTGTTGGTGATTTTTGGAAGAGAATCTTCCACCATTTGATCGCCCCTTACATAAACTAAATTAATAAAACCGGTCGCTGTAGCAATCTGAAATTGCCGATAATGAGTCGCCACTTGTAGTTTTTTATACATGTTTACACACTAGGTTACTTTTAACATGCGTCAAGGTATCGACATCGTGTTAACCAACATTTGAGAATGCTACATAGCCTGAGAGTTTGGGTGGCGTTTTGTTTTTCGGGTTTGCAGTGTATGGTTCCTGTAGGCACAGTACATCAATGTTATTGGCACAAGCGTACATCATTAGATCAAACAGCCTCCTGCACAAGCTTTTCACATCCCACGTGAGAAATTTATCCACTACAAAATTACTTTTAATTTTGTTCATTTACTCAAGAGACGTGTTTACAAGTTGCAAACGATTGCTTACAAGTTTGATTTTGATTTTGCCCGAAACGCATTGCGTAATAGTGGCTTTAGGCATTGTATGTACTAGCTCTATCTATATATCAATCCATTAATGTAACATCACTTGTATGTATATACCTTACCTGAATAAACATCTGAATCTGAAAGTGACAATTTTTCAGGGGTCATTAATATTAAAGTCATCTCTCATCTGCGTAATGGTCAGTTGGTAGCTTATCTTTCTACCACTCTAGTTTCCAAATCAGTAGTGACCAAAAGGTCTTTCAATAACCTAATTAACGTCCATTGTGTCATGTTAATTGAACATGTCATCCATTCAACCCATTAGTATTTTATAAACCTTCCTTACCATCATAAATCACAACTATTCAGATTTCTTGGGTTATAAGTGAAGAAAACAACCAGTCACCTTATTGTAATTTAAGGTCACAAAATGCACTCGCCAACTCTGACTCTGTATACAAATTCGATTAAAAGGTTATAATAGATTTGTCATTATGAAAAAAATGGTAAAAAAGGGAGAAGAGAGGGGACGCTTAAAAAAAATCTTTAAAACAGTAAAAATTACATAAATATTTGTGGTTATGGACATTTCAGACCATTTTTAATCCCATTATTCAGATAATGATCAATACGCAACAAGTAAAACAAAGTACAGATGAAACATTTTTAAAAGTGCATTGGAAGCGTCTTCGAGAAAATAGGGGGGGAGGGAGGAGGGGTTAATTAAAATTAAATCTTTGCTACATTTAGCGAGTCAACTTAAAACTACTGGCAGAAATCTTCTCCCACATGAACAAACCGTTGTGTGAAGGTAATTCGTCCAAGTAGTCGAGGTCCTAAAATGCAGAAGTCCAATTCTTATTTGCCAATATTCCATCTTATCAAGAATTGCGTCTGAAAACAAAAGAAAGACTAATTAGAACACCTTTTAAGCCCCCAAATAAAAAATCTATTTATTTCACGATTATTAACTTACCTAGCCCAGTGACGCGTTATGATGAAGCAACAGATGTTAAAGCTTAAGTACAAGAAGCTTAACCACATAATCACTGTTATAATGAGGCTCATCACAGACATGATGACGTCTTCACAGTTGTCGTAGGCATACCTCACAGTGTCAGCGAGGTACGGCAGATACTCGTAAACCACAGCGTGAACCACAGCGTCCATCCACCGCCAAAGTTCATCCATGTATTGCCTACCCGTTATTGCCAAGATGTCACTGCTAGCAGCATCCATCACTGCAGTGTCGAGTCTTGCAGTGGGATTTATAGCGGTGATTCCTCTCCGACCTAAAACGTGACGCAACCCAAGCACAACGTATTGATAAATGTTAAAATGTACGATATCCATTTGCCGTAATATATACACAAAATGTGTATATGTGTTAAAAGAACATCTATAGGTAAGCTACAGAATGAGCAACCGCTGAGCAACTGAGCCTTAAGTGGCTGGCAGAAAACACGAAACGTTCTTTTTTCACGGTGAAGAAAATGGGTGTTGGAAAGGTTTGGAGTTTTGAACAGCCCGATTTATGAGACATTAAACCATCCTCATTGGATTAAGCCCAAATATTAAAGATTAAAATACAAAAATCTGTTATAGCTCAGCCCGCAGCCCGTCCTCCAAACAAAGATCCAAAAGTGATTCCATGCACCCGCCAAACCCCCTGTTTATGAATGAAAAGCGGTTTACACACGACTCACAACTGCTGACGTTCGAACATATCCGGAACAAGTGCTTCACTGACGAATTTTGTTCGAACCACAACGCTGTAAATGCTTCACCCACGTACTACAAATATAAATAATCGCCAACAGAACCTAAACACCTGACCTAACCTAACCTATGCCTATTTATACACAATATGCAAATATATTATAATATTAATTTATACTTGAGAAAATTCCCGTTTTAAATGAACAGCATATTAAAATTTATGAATGCGTATGTGGGGTTGCAACCCGTCCTCGACTCAAGTCCATTACATCCAGCGGTCAACCCCACAGACGCATTCATAAATTTTAACATGCTGTTCAATCAAAACGGGAATTTTCTCAAGTATAAATTAATATTATAATATATTAGCATATTGTGCATATATAGGCATAGGATAGGTTAGGTGTTTAGGTTCTGTTGGCGATTATTTGTATTTGTAGTACGTGGGTGAAGCATTTATAGCGTTGTGGTTCGAGCAAAATTCGTCAGTGAAGCACTTGTTCCGGATATGTTCGAACGTCAGCAGTTGTGAGTCGTGTGTAAACCGCTTTTCATTCATAAACAGGGGGTTTGGCAGGTGCATGGAATCACTTTTGGATCTTTGTTTGGAGGACGGCCTGGGGGTTGACCGCTGAATGTAATGGACTTGAGTCGAGGACGGGTTGCAACAGAAGCATGTAAAAATTTATGAATGCGTTTGTGGGGTCGACCGCTGGATGTAATGGACTTGAGGACGGGTTGAAATAATCGCCAACAGAACATAAACACCTAACATAATCAATTCCTAATTATACTTACAAGTTAAAAAAAAACTTTAATATTAGTATAGACTTAACAGTATGCTAATATATAATAATATTAATTCATATTTGAGAAGATTCCTGTCTTGAATGAATAGCATGTTAAAATTTATGAATGCGTCTTTGTGGTCGACCGCTGGATGGAATGGACTTGGCCTGAGGACAGGTTGCATAGCTACATTGTATAAAATGACTCATTTAGCAAAACTGGAGCGTCCATGGAGAATCCACATACATTTGTATTTCATTTAATACAAAACTCATAACATAACGTAATGTCAAGTAATGACGTTTTTCTAAACATTACCAACGTTAAATGATCAACATTGACGTTTTACTAGACTTTACTAACGTTAAATATTCAACATTGACGTTTTACTAGATTTTACCAACGTTAAATGTTCAATACTGACGTTTAAATATGCACTGAGGTCAGGTTCGAAACGTACTAAACATCCTATTATCCTATTACATAAGACCTTCCGAGGGTCTCTGGCCATTTTAGGTGACTAAGGTTCTACCCTAAACTTATTAGGCTGCACCAGGAATGGCATGATATTCGATAATTAAAACTTCTAAATTTCCGGAAGAAAATTAAGAGCTCCTACAATAATTAATTCCTATTTGGATTATGCAGTTAAGTTTGCTTGCCATGCTATAGAATGGACATGAGTTCCTTTAAACGAGAACAGAGAAAGATGACAAAAGTTAATCCCAGGACTTGGAAAATCTACCTCATGAAGATAGATTAAAAAAAGCCTAATTTACATTCTATATATTTTTTATTAATACATGAGGTACATCTGCATTTGTGCAGCTACCCTAGACTATATGAAGTGGAGTACAGTGTCAAAAAAGCTAACTACGTGATGCTAAAAAATCCTCATCACACAGGATGGTTAGTCATACAGAGGCATTTAATAGGCACTCTGCACTGGCAGACTCCGGATGCATTTTGAGGATATCAACACAAGAGTGAATAAGGTAGCAGTGGTAATAAAAGTCCCCCATCTCGCAGGATGGTTAGTCATACAGGGTCATATGTTTAGTAGCCTGCACTGGCAAATTTTGGGTGCAATATGAGGATATCCTCAAGAATACGAGAGTGAATAAAGTAATTGCAAAGTTCCAGGTACCTCATGTCAACTGGTCTGAAAGGTCTAATAACTGAGCATTCGGTGATATAGTGGGAGATTATGCCGCAGTTCCTGCTCACAGAGTTTGCATCTGGAGTGCTCAGGATTGGGAGATCCGTCACCTGTAGCCACCTGCTACAGGTAACGGTAACCCAACCTGATCCTTGCAACCACTGTGTCGCACAGTTTGGTGGACGTTTTGTGCTGCCCATAGATATAGGTTTCAGATTTGAACAAATCATAGCTTTTAATACTAGTACTTTCAGGTCGTTGCGAGTCAGTAATTTCTTTCCTATCAGACCTAAGTGTTTGAACCAATACAGTTTTGACAGTAGAGATGGGGATACCTAGATCTAATTTAACTTCATCTTTGTTGCACGCTAATTTGGCTGCAATGTCTCATTATGATGTGTTATATTTATGTGTGACGGTATCCATATAAAAGATTCGAGACCCTTTACTCTGCACCAATTAGATCATATATAATTGGATAGAAAGCCATACATAAATAGGGAAGACTGAAATATTCAAATTAATGAAATTGTATAACAAAGGGGATAGATGGTTAAACACATCACATTATATAAATAGGAGTTGCTTCGTATAGGCTTTCTGCAGTTTCCTTAATTTGTATGCTCTTAATTAGAAACTGTAAAATGCGAGATTAAAAACGCTTAAGTTGCATTCTCAAGAAAGGCGCAGAGTAAGGGTGAACTATATTGATGGATGAAAAGGTATGACAAGAACACGAAACAATTTACGTATCTTAGATTAGTTATAGATTCAAAGAATGACCTGGGTCAATACTGGTCAGGAAAGCCAGTAAATACTGGCTTGGAAATAGGATAATAGATTGCCCTAAACGCTATGCGTGTCAGTGGCTTTACAAGAATGTAAAAACCATCGATGCTATGCACTCGATAACCCAATGTACCTTCTTATGTATATAAAATAAATAATTTATGGAACAAATTACTGGTCAACATTGGTTAACATAGACTTTGGATTGCTAGATTTACTCAATCTTAACGCTATTTCACTTTGAATGGATTGTTTTGAGCGTAGATTACACTTGTATGAACGAGTTAGTGGATATAAATAGGAACCGCCTTGTATGGCCTAATAGGCTTTCTGCAATGGCCTATATTATGCTATTTAATACACCATAATCCAGCGTGATTTATGGAACTAGGCGTCTGTATACTATATAAACTGGCTCTGGCGCAAACATCTCCCAACCCATCACGGATAACACCAGGTTTTCCATCAAGTATAGGTTGTATAACTAGTGTTGTACCATGTAAATCTTTAAATATTTCCGGAACCGCTTTCCTGGCATACCAGCTTTATCGGTCAAGACGCCAGCTGGGGTCTTGACCTGTGCTGCGAGTGGAACTTTGGTTTAGCTCTAGACCCCTAACCCCGAACTTCATCACCAATGTTTGACATTCTCAAGTTGCGACTGCTAGCCCTCGCAAAGATGCAATCAACTCTCATCCCTGTCCAGGGCGCATAGAGGCCATGAGATCATTTCAGAGTATGTGGTGAACAATGAGGCACAAAACGTTAACATTACCTTTATACCTCTATTTTAGATTAAAGATTAGCATTAGTCACAAGTTACATTGTTGCTCACGTCCCTGGCGTGGACTAGGCAATCTTCGGAGATTGTTGGTGTCAAACTTTTATAGAGCATTTTTCTATATTTTATCAGCCGTTTACTTAAATTGCTTAAGTAAAAAGAATAATTTAACGTAAAGTTCAAGGAGATTGAATGCCTTGCAAAGATGGTTTTCATTTCAAAAAGCCAAATTTCAGACCGATTGCCAAAGATTCAGACTGCTCGTCTAAAGACCGACATCCCCCCCCCCCCAAAAAAAAAAAAAAAAATTTACAGTGTACGGCCTTTTGTTCGACAGGATTAAACGCAGTCTGCTCGTTACAACGGACAGTTACGCTAGGGATTCTTCGGAGCTATTGTCCGTCATGCGCATGTCAAGTCATTAAGAAAATGACAAAGTACCAGCTAACTAATCCTCACGAGTAACATTTACATATAAAATTGCCACTGAAGCCATTTTTAGTGCTGTAGCTAAATTTAAATCCGACATTAATAACCCTAAAATTTGAATATTATTATAATTTAGTATCTAGGTTTATTAATGAACTTTTAAAGCCTTTATTTATTTTAGCTATTTAGGGTACATTGTACGTGTTACACCAAATTTTTAAAGTTTAATAATACAGTTAAAAACCAATTATAAAAGATAAAATGTTTTAAAAAGTGCTTAAACAGAAGTTTAAATAATGCATCAGTAAGAATATTCCAAAGTTGACTGCATGGTTCAATGTTGCTCCCAGGAGATCACGGGTTTCCAGGCGTTAGGCAGTTTTGTCTAGCGAATCCAATAATCGGGTACGTGTGGCAGTCAGTCTGTGTGACTAGAAAAAAAATTAATGTCTAGTTATTAAGATAGCAAGAAAACTTAAATATTTTGGCTAACGATGTTTACTTGCACAAAAGAATTATTAGATGTCCAAGTAAAACTTTACTCACAAAACACATTTTTGCATCTTCAGCGTAGATCAGGAGCAATATGCCGGCCGTCCACGTCAAGAGCGCGAACAATATACAAAGTAACCGGAGAAACCCAACACAGACATCTTTCACCCTGTTTGGGGGACATTTGTGGGGATCACAACTCCCTGGAATAGTTCCGTACCCGGTTGGCATAATGATACCTGAAAAAAAACTATGTACTTAAAAACTATAGCTAAAATATCCTCATGTTTAAAATGCACTCAAATTCAACATCGACCTTCCAATACCTCACTGTTTGTTATAGATCTGCAAGACGCCAAATGTTTTGCGTGACTGAAGGCTGTCGAATGCAATCTAGATGAAGAAACCTTCCTCGGTGACGCAATGAAGCTCACGTAACATTCTTGTTTCGAAACACTCAACACTTTGCTTCACGAATCAAATACTGAGTCGAGCATTGCGGTTTGAAATTAGGCCTGACACATTTTTCAAATACATAACACAGTACAACGCATTCTTAAACCATTAGTTAACTGTTCCTCAATACTGTAGCTATTTTTCTGTTATCTATTAATGAAAAACTTTACGTGTAACTCAACTAATTACGTTAAAAATTAGAATTGTGCTTCACTCGCTTTAAATATTCGAAAGGCACCTCTCTAAAAGCTTTACCCACTTGATGTAAATCCACATAAGAGCCACCAGATCCAATACACCTACTTTAGGCAAATACATGAAACAATAATTGATAACATTACTGATTAACATGTCGAGAAAATGTTGTTTTGGATTACACAATTGAGAAAAATTACAGAATGCTCCTTTGGAATCAATGGATTTTTTGAAGCATCTGCGAGACTTGTAAATGAATGAGATTGGGTGCATATGAATAGAAGCTGCCTCATTTGGCCCAATAGCGCTTCTGCAGTTTCCTTACTTTCTATGAAGTCGGGTTGCTCGACAAGTAAAAGTTTTCTAGATTGCATTTCGAACGTAGAGAGTAAATGAGACACGTCTCGAGGAAGTTCCGAACGTAACAGTTGCGAATCGTTTATGGGAGTGTTCACATTATCTGAGTGCGTTGTATTGCTCACGTTGTGATTAAGATCATAGAGTGGTTTATATTACATTGCAATATGAAGACGAGGTGAAATATACCTCCGCGTATCGGAAACTTTCACCCTAAGTAAATATTTCGCGAAGGGAAGTGCTTCGAAAACTCGTTTAATGTTTTGAAACTCGTTTCACTAAGTCACGAAGAAAGGTTTACTTGGTACATCCGCTAAAGTCTTTACAGTAGTCCAACGTGAGAATTGAATTTGACCACACTGATTTTCGTCGGTTGAGGGTTGTAGACGTCGTATATCACTAACGATATACAACCATCGCAAGGGATTTGTAATTTGTATTTAGGTAAAGTTTGTGGTGGAGCAGAAAATGCTCGCGAACGAGAACAAACGTACGTTAGTATGTCGCGTTAGTTTCTCTGACGCTGTAGAGGATGGTGTCCCTCCGCCACCGGTGCTCCCGAGGATGGTGATGGTAGCAGCGCTCCTCTGGCTGAGTACCTGTGTTATACTTTTGTTCTACTTGACCATTCCTCCGTTCTGCTGGGTGAGTACTGATTTACCTCTTTAACTTACTAAGAGATGTAGTTCGCTATAGGATATGAACATGCTAACCATTACTTTCAAAAAGTCTCTAAATTCTTTTGCTTCAAATGTTTCAGAGGGAGTTTACACATGGGTACTTGGGGATTGGGGGGGGTAGTTGGGTCTTAAAATACACTAAAGTGATGCCTGTGGCTAAGCATTCAAATAAATATGGTAAACTCTCAAATACCATATTACACTTGTATATCCACTAAACTCTTATTTTCAACTACGCTTGAAACAATAGTAATACCACAATGGTTACCCGGTATAAAGTTAAATAATGCAGTACTTCGGAACCAGTATTTACATTAGATTTTAAAATCTAATTTTTAGGTATGTACTAGGTTTCGTGTTTTTTGATGTAACTGACTGTAAATATCTAAACTGATGTTTGATTTCCTTAACCTAGCTCAATGGGACCTTGGAGGCTACAAGATTTCGCGAGGACAATACCACATCGTGTTGGACAGACTAAATGCTTTGGCATAGATGACATCTTCATCAACAACGAGGCTACTGCAGCTTGATGAACAGTAGTTGATTTTAATGTGACTTGCGTGATATACATATGTTTTTAATTGTATTATAGCACAATAAACTTTGCTGGTATCTTAAATTTAACTTGATATCCTTGGTCTAGATGTTAATTGAAACGGAAAAGGTTCTAAAAACTCTAATCTTTAGTGTTGTACAAAAATAACTGTCACATTTTTCTCTACGTGATCGAGGAAGGTTTTGAAATAAGACTGGAAATGCTTACAGAAGGGAAACTACTGCTAACTGAAAGGTATTCAGTTCCACAAATTAGGGAAAGACTTTGGTACTTGAACATGCCGATCCAACCCAACCTCCGACCGGACGAAAGAGGGAGCGAAGAGCACAGTACGTTCTGTATCAGAGCATGTACGAGAAGGATCGTTCAAAAGCCGCTGCGCGCGTCCTTTCCGGAGACTGGAAAGTAACTCCTACTGAGGTGGAGCCAGCTCTTCTTCCATTTTGGGAGGCGCTATTCTCTAGACCCACATCACCGGACCGTCGCCCAATTCGTGACCGTGATCCAGTTACTCGGCAACTAGGGGACCATATAACGCCAGAGGAAATCCTTGTTGCTCTCAAGGCAAGTAGCAATGCTGCTCCCTGCCCAGACGGTATCGCTATACGTCTACTTAAAGCTATACCAATCGGGGTGTTTGCAAAACTTTAATTTGTGATTGGTAAAAGACTCCCTGCTATGACTTTTTCGCGAGAATAAGAGTGCTGTTACCTAAGAAACCTTGACGTATATGAATCAAAGTATAATAGTTGAAATATTTGAACACCCTAAACAGTACGTATAAATTAGAAGTTTGCATTATCAAATTTGGAAATATTTTGTACGTTTTAAAAAATTTACCAGGAACATAAGATTTAAAAAACTATGTGGATACAATGGCAGCCTCGTATGAATCAATACGCCTGCTAGCTGCAGATGATAAAGAACATTGTAAAAATGTAGAGCCCTTTGGCCAATAAGTTACTACGAATTTTGTTACCAAGTACACAAGCTTTTGTGTATAAAGACCCTGTTCAAGACTCCAAGCCTACGGCTCGGTCGCTTTCACTTTTATGTAAACAAACTAAACACGTTCATATGTATACTCAATAAAAGAGCCTCGCATTTCTATTGATAATTACTTGAGCCCAATACACAAATTTATAGAAGGGAGCGTTGTAGAATGGAAGGAATGCATACGTAGGCAGAAAAAACCTATTACCATATATTACCAAGTTATTACCATATAAACTTGGTAATAACCCAATTTATCATGATAAAATAATTTAGTTTGGCGTTGGGTTCAATAGCTCGAGGGATATAAGTCCTTATTCATAAAGTACGTTTGAATAATTGGAAAAACTTGCTTGTGACTTTGAGTAAGCTACCTAGACACAGTAAAAGCCAATTAATTTTATTTACCTTCTTAAGGTTATCTTGAGATGATTTCAGGGCTTAGCGTCCCCAAGGCCCGGTCCTTTCTCACATTCACAATATTTTGTATCCATTTCTCCAGTAAATTGCTGATTTCCTGGAGAAATGTTGAAACAAACAGGACAATGATGCGTGTTCACATGAATCGACAACCTCCCCAACGATATCATCTTTTACAGAAGCCACGTCTTCTGTAAGACTTCCTATAAGCATCTTCGTTCCTCTTCATTTATATATTAAATGTATAAATAAATTTATTATCGATTCTTTATGCATATCGTAGGTGTTACTTGGGTAGGGTTGGTAGTCCTGACTGCAGCTTGGGCAGGGTTGGTAGTCCTGACTGCAGCTCGGAGAAGGCCGGCAGTCGTGTTTGCAGCTCGGAAGTTGCAGGCTGGCAGTCTTATCTGAGGTGAGGTTGTGGCCTGGGAGAGAACAGATTTGCAGGAAGTGACGGGATTGGTAGGCTGTGTGGCGGGATTGAGGCGACCTATACGGATTATAGTAGACCGTTCGGGTCAGTCGTAAGTATACTTAGTAGTCTTAAGTATAGTATACCTAAGTTCTTAGTGAGTCCTAAGTATACTTATATTCCTAAACGTAAGTGTTCCTCAGGCTTAGCTCAATTTTTGGAAATCCAGTTAGTATCATCATGATTTTTTCTGGTCATCGTATCAAGAAAATGCTGGGCCTTTGGTGGTGCTAATTTTAAACACGTACGTATATCGAGAATCCTAATAAACTCCTACCATTCAACGTAGTTGTAATAGACCGAAACGACGTATTTTTTTCATCTTCTGATGAGTGGTAAACAAAAAGGTCGAAAGGTTTATAATTATGAAACTAGTTATAATTGTAACATTGCAGAATTTTTTGTTACATTGTTCCCATACTTCTTACAATTGGACCAACAACCAAAGATTGAACGTAGTAAGGAATAATAGAACAAAATAATTCAGTTAATTGTTTATTAAAGAAAACGATTGTACAGAAGTCATAGCGGAATTCACTGTTTCACAAAATATTCAGGTTGCGATGAACAGGACCCCACACATTTGTGCCATCTTTCATTGTTCCAACCATGCCATCGCCGTCCTGTTGAAATACAGTGGCAAGTCGCTCGCAAAATCCTCAGAGTGACACAGCAGTTCCTCCTTGGGAAGCCACGATTCCTGTGGCTCCGGGACTTGCTGGTATCCTGCCGCTCCACTCGACACGTTAGGCAGGATGCTGCGTTCTCTCGACATCTGAACACAAAAACATAAGAATGAAAGTAAATGCAGAATACCTATTGGCTCATACGAGTCAGCTCCTATTTATATATATCAACCCAATCTCATTCTTATGTGTCTAACCTACGTTTGAAACAATCAAAAGGATCCTACTTCTATTATGTTATGAGGTAATTGATTCCACAAATCAACAACCCTGTTACCGAACCAGTATTTACCCAGGCCTTTCCTAAATCTAAAATTATCCAATTTACACCCATTGTTTCGTGTTTTGCCCATTCATCCACGTACACCTCTATCATGTCAACGCTAATTCTTCGTTTTTCTGGAGAATGTAATTAAAAAAAAATGGGTAATACAATTTAAGCTTTGTTAATCTTTCTGCACATGACAGAAGGCAGGACGCTTTCCTGCTAATTTGCGGGATTACCTTCGTCAACTTCTAGGGACTTTATATCCATTATTCGCCATATGGCGACCAAAACTGAACTGTATAATCTAAATGGGGCCTATCAATAAAAGATATAGCTGAAGAATAACACCTGTACACAAAATAATTCTCTATTCACAGAGAATCACACTAACGTTAAATCCCAGTCCCCTAACTTTGCCTTATCAACATTTATGCATTTAAATCATAAGACGCTTACCTCTTTCTCATTCAGTGGTCTTTCTCGATCAGAACGTGTTGCCGCATGGAATGTGTTGTACCTGTACCTTATCTTGTTACCGGACAAGAGAGACAGGGAGCCTTCTGACATGGTGAAGTTTCAAGAGAGGAGTAGAAAATTCAAACTCCCTACCAATCTTTTATTCATTCCCTCCTAACTCAGTTCACCTCACGTGACTGATTGATGAAGATTAAGCCACCCAAGAGGTGGCACGGGCACGAATAGCCCGTAAGTGGTACAATTTTTTTTTTCTCAGTATTCTGAGTTTGCATTTAACCATCAAGCTGTTATCGCGGGGGAGGATACTGCTTCACAGTCTTTATGAGGGTGTCCAGCTGCTGAACACCTTTGTTGACCAGGAGAGTGGCTGTGTTGATGGCTTCAGGGTGGCCACTGCATGATTCAGGAACTCTTAAAGCGCTTCTAAGGTCATTGGTTGCTTCACATTCCAGAAGATAGTGAAGTAATGGCTTTTCTGTGACAATTTGGCAGAAGATACACTCTCTCTGTCGGGGTTCACCAATCTCCCAGTTGCATCTGTAACCTAGACGTAGTTCACATGACAATAAACATGACCGAAAATAAACAACCTCAGCTCACCTTGGGTAACATGATAGAGATGTACAAATGCATGAATGGACTTAACAAAGGGGATATTAATAGGGTATTAAAAGTATCAACACGAAACAATGGGTATAAGTTGGATAAATTTAGATTTAGGAAAGTAAATACTGGTTCGATAACGGAGTTGATTTGTGGAACCGATTACCGCATAACTTAATAGGAGCCCTTGATTGTTTCAAGCATAGGTTAGACATATATATATATATATGAATGAGATTGGGTGGATATAAATAGGAACTGCCTCGTATGGGTCAATAGGCTTTCTGCAGTAACCTTCATTCTTATGTTCTTATAAAGGAAATTATCTCTAGAAGCGTTAACCACAAACCAACATTTGGTGTATCCTTCAGCTATATCTTCCTCTTTGTTAGGCCCCACTTAGATTATGCAGTTCAGTTTTGGTCGCCATTCTATATAACGTATATAAATTCACTAAAACGGTGAACATCTTTCTTTTTAATCAGTCTTTCGTGTGGCACTGTATTAAAAGCTTTGCTAAAGTCAAGGTACACAACATCACAAACCTTACCACTATCAACTGCCTCAACTCAATTTATACTTTTACTTTAACTAAATAAATTATTATTATTATTATTATAAATAGGAGCTGCCATGTATGGGCCAATAGGCCTTCTGTAGTTTCCTTAATTCTCGTGTTCTTGCTTTGTCTACTTACAAAATTCTTGCCTCTCTCTCCTCCATCTTAGCAAGGTTATTTATTAAAGTTTTACTTAAGTTTGCATTTATTAAAGTTTTTGAGCTCATAGAGCTAGGAGGCTGTAAAAATTAAGAACCTCGTAGTGTCTTCAAACTCAAAAAGTGTTTATTTGATATAGATTAAGATACCATACAATCTTCGTGAGTGAACATGCCTAATGAATCCTAAACGTAGTGAATCAACATTTAGGCAAATACATGTGGGGGAATGAAAAAATGAACATATATATATATATATATATATATATATATATATATATATATATATATATATTTTTTAAAATTACTTTATTAAAGAACTCTACATTTAACAGCTTAGACATGTACATTGTGATAAACACTGAAATATGAATTTAAGACTGGGGATCTCCCTAGCCGCCTCTACATAAACGCTCTGCTAAAAAGTTCACCACCTCGCTTCCCGTCAGGTTAACCCAATCGTCGTCGTCGTCCTCCTCCTGCGCCGCCCCCAGGAGTGGTGTGGTAGGCGTCGCTGCTCGGGATCCTCTCCTGTAAACCAGTATTCGAACTGATAGCTTCTTGGCACAAACTAGAAACGTTTCAAGTGATTAAAGAGCTTATGCGAGAAACGAAACTGTCACGAATTATGTCAACTAACATAAGAACAAAAGTAACTGCAGAAGGCCTATTGGCCCATACGAGGCAGCTCCTATTTATAACCACCCAATCCCACTCATATACATGTCCAACCCGCGCTTGAAACAATCAAGGGACCCCACCTCCACCACGTTACGCGGCAATTGGTTCCACAAATCAACAACCCTGTTACTGAACCAGTATTTACCCAAGTCTTTCCTAAATCTAAACTTATCCAATTTATACCCATTGTTTTGTGTTCTGTATTGTTGTTACTTTTAATACCCTATTAATATGCTCTATTAATATTACCCTAATTAATAATACCCTATTAATATTATGCTCTAGTTAGGCCCCATTTAGATTATGCAGTTCAGTTTTGGTCGCCATATTATAGAATGGATATAAATTCACTTGAACGTGTCCAGCGTAGGATGACTAAGTTAATTCCCCAAATTAGAAATCTTTCATATGAAGAAAGATTAACAAAGCTTAAGTTGCATTCACTGGAAAGGCGAAGAGTTGGGGGTGACATGATAGAGGTTTACAAGTGGGTGAATGGACATAACAAAGGGGATATTAATAGGGTATTAAAAGTATCAACACAAGACAGAACACGACACAATGGGTATAAATTGGATAAGTTTAGATTTAGGAAAGACTTGGGTAAATACTGGTTCAGTAACAGGGTTGTTGATTTGTGGAACCAATTGCCGCGCAACATTGTGGAGGTGGGGTCCCTCGATTGTTTCAAGCATGGGTTGGACATGTATATGAGTGGGATTGGGGGTTATAAATAGGAGCTGCCTCGTATGGGCCAACAGGCCTTCTGCAGTTGCCTTTGTTCTTATGTTCTTATAAGAACAAGGTAACTGCAGAATGTTTTTCAAGATGAAGACGAATTTTATTTGCAATTATAGATTCGAGTAACTTTCCCACAATAGACGTTAGGCTAATTGGTCGATAGTTTGACATAAGAACATAAGAACATAAGAACAAAGGTAACTGCAGAAGGCCTATTGGCCCATACGAGGCAGCTCCTATTATATAACCACCCAATCCCACTCATATACTTGTCCAACCCGTGCTTGAAACAATCGAGGGACCCCACCTCCACAATGTTACGCGGCAATTGGTTCCACAAATCAACAACCCTGTTACTGAACCAGTATTTACCCAAGTCTTTCCTAAATCTAAACTTATCCAATTTATATCCATTGTTTCGTGTTCTGTCCTGTGTTGATACTTTTAATACCCTATTAATATCCCCCCGGTTATGTCCATTCATCCACTTGTAAACCTCTATCATGTCACCCCTAACTCTTCGCCTTTCCAGTGAATGCAACTTAAGCTTTGTTAATCTTTCTTCATATGAAAGATTTCTAATTTGGGGAATTAACTTGGTCATCCTACGCTGGACACGTTCAAGTGAATTTATATCCATTCTATAATATGGCGACCAAAACTGAACTGCATAATCTAAATGGGGCCTAACTAGAGCAAGATATAGCTTGAGAACCACACCAGGTGTCTTGTTACTAACGCTGCGATTAATAAATCCAAGTGTCCGATTTGCCTTATTACGAACATTTATGCATTGATCCTTTTGTTTTAAATTCTTACTAATCATAACTCCCAGATCCCTTTCGCAATCCGACTTCGCAATCACGACTTTGATTTGCTAATATATTTTGCTATGCTTTGCTATGATAATATATTATCATAGCAATATGGCTATATTATCATAGCAATATGGAAGTTGTAGTGAAGGACCTGGTGACTCTAGTGGGAGCCCTGAGGACAGAGTTGGACTCTCTGCGGGAGGAGGTGCGTCAGCTTAAAAAACAACGAGAAGTAACGAAGGAGGAGACCAGCAGTAAAGGGACCTCGTCTTGGAGAGTTGCGAAAGACAGGGGCCTTAAGAAGACTTTGATAAAGCCGCCTTCAAACGCCATAGCAACTTCAAATTCATTTGACGTTTTGGAGGACGAGTGCTGTGGAGAGACTGTGGATCGCGCAAAAGGGAAAGCAACGAAGAGAAAGGAAGCGCAGGCCCCTCAGAAAGTAAAGGAAGTACCTAAGCAAACATTAGTTGTGGGAGATTCCCAGATAAGGTATTTGGATAGAACGTTTTGTGCTAGAGATAGGGGGAACAGGTTAAGGGTTTGCTATCCCGGAGCTGGCATTGGTGATATTATAAACAACATGAATGATATTATGGCTGGTAATGGGAACAATCCCATTATTTGCATTAGCGTGGGAGGAAATGATGTTGGTCGAGTCAGGAGTGAGGAACTGATTCAGAGGTATAAAACAGCCATAGAGTTAGTTAGGAGCAAGGGAGGAATCCCGATCATATGTGGCATTCTTCCAAGAAAGGGAGTGGGAAATGAATGGATATCGAGGGCACTTGGTGTCAATTGCCGGCTGGAAAGATATTGCAAATCAAATGCAATATCTTTCATAGACAACTGGGAACACTTCTATGGAAGAAATGAAATGTATGCTCGTGATGGGGTGCATCTATCGAGAGCTGGGGTTGTTGCTGTTGCGAACTCGCTAGAAGAAGTGGTTAGAGGTGTTTGTTTGGGTTTAAACTGTTAGTAGATAGAGGTATGGGAATTGATTTGGAGGAAGGAGGTAATAAAAGTATGTGTTTGTGGGAGAAAGGAATTGGCAAAACGATCAGGGAAAGAGAAGGTCCGCAAAATAACAATTCACTTAGGGTATATTACACTAACAGTAGAAGTCTAAGAAATAAAATTAACGAATTAAATGCTCTTGTCTGCACAGAAAAAATAGATATTATTGCACTTACCGAAACGTGGATGAATGTAGAAAATAGAGAACTATTAGCTGAATATCAAATATATGGATTTAAACTATTTCACACAGATAGATATATTAGACGAGGAGGTGGAGTAGCCATATATGTTAGGGGCAATTTGAAATGTAGTCTCAAAGAGGGAATCAAAACAGAGCCACACACAGAAACTATTTGGATTGAATTAAACGAAAAAGCTAATAATATTATAATAGGAGTAATATATAGGCCACCAAATTTAGACAGAATGGAAGCAAAGCATCTATGGGATGAAATATCTAGAGCATCTAGATCTAACAGTATTTATGTCATGGGTGACTTTAATTTTAGCGGAATAAACTGGTTGAACAAAACAGGGAATAGTGAAGCAGAAGATTTTCTAGAATTAATTGACGATTGCTTTCTTACGCAACACATTAAGGAACCAACACGGGAAAATAATATTTTAGATTTAGTGTTAACTAACAGGGAAACGCAAATTAATGACATCGAAATAGGGAGTGAGCTAGGGAGCAGTGATCACAAAGAAATCAGATTTAGCATAGAATGGAATAGACCAGTAGGAGAAAATTCTGTTAAAGTGCCAGATTTTCGAAAAGCTGATTTTAATAGCCTAAGAAATTTTTTGGGTCAAATTGATTGGAAAGGCTTGGGTATGGGGTGTGGGCCGGTCTTGGAGCGAGACATGAACCCAGCGATAGGTGACTTAAATGGGGATTTCGATGTGGATTCAATATATAACTTATTTAAGAATATTCTAAACAAAGCACAGGAACGTAGTATACCATACAAATTGAATAGATCGTATACTAATGACCCAAAGTGGATAACAAAGAATTTGAAGAACCTTATAGGTAAAAAGAGAGCTTGGTACAAAAGGATTAAAAATGGGGAGGTCACTTTAGAACAGGAATTCGTACAACTGGTTAGAAATGTTAAAAAAGAGATAAGGAAAGCAAAAAGAAACTATGAAGTTCGCATAGCAGGGCAAGCAAAGACAAATCCTAAAGGGTTTTTTCAGTTATATCGTACTAAGACTAGGGAAAGGATAGGTCCATTAAAAACTGAGACAGGTCAAATAACAGATAGTGATGAAGAGATGAGTAGTATTTTTAATAAATATTTTGTATCTGTATTTACTAAAGAGGAACTTAACAATATGCCTTCAGCCGAACAAGTCTATGTGGGTGGGGACGAGGACAGGTTGACGAGTTTAGCAGTTACCAGGGAGGATGTTCTTAAACAAATAGTAAAACTCAAACCAAACAAATCCCCAGGGCCGGATGAAGTGTTTGCTAGGGTGCTTAAAGAATGCAAAGAGGAGCTTTGTGACCCACTGTCAACCATATTTAATAAATCAATAGAGTCAGGCAGAGTGCCAGAGTTTTGGAAAGTTGCTAATGTGATACCAGTTTTTAAGAAAGGAGATAGATCACTTGCGTCTAACTATCGACCAATTAGCCTAACGTCTATTGTGGGAAAGTTACTCGAATCTATAATAGCAAATAAAATTCGTCTTCATCTTGAAAAACATAAATTAATAATTGAGTCGCAACATGGTTTTATAAATGGCCGTTCATGTTTAACAAATTTGTTATCTTTTTATTCTAGCATTGTTGAGGCAGTTGATAGTGGTAAGGATTGCGATGTTGTATACCTTGACTTTAGCAAAGCTTTTGATACAGTGCCACATGAAAGACTGATTAAAAAAATAGAGTCTCATGGTATTGGGGGTGCTATATTAAGCTGGATTAGGGCATGGCTATACCAAAGGAAACAGAGAGTTAGTATAAATGGAATCAAGTCAGAGTGGGAAAATGTTGTAAGTGGAGTGCCTCAAGGCTCTGTCCTGGGACCTCTGTTGTTTATAATATATATAAATGATTTAGATTCAGGTTTGAGTAGCAACATTTGCAAATTTGCCGATGATACGAAAATCGGTAGGGAAATTAATTCGGAGGAGGACTCACTATCACTTCAAGTTGATCTAGATAGGGTTTTGAAATGGTCAAAGGATTGGCAGATGCAGTTTAATGCTGATAAATGTAAAGTTCTGAGGTTAGGTAATGATGATAGAGTTACAAGATACGAGCTAGATGGTGTTGTGATTGCGAAGTCGGATTGCGAAAGGGATCTGGGAGTTATGATTAGTAAGAATTTAAAACAAAAGGATCAATGCATAAATGTTCGTAATAAGGCAAATCGGACACTTGGATTTATTAATCGCAGCGTTAGTAACAAGACACCTGGTGTGGTTCTCAAGCTATATCTTGCTCTAGTTAGGCCCCATTTAGATTATGCAGTTCAGTTTTGGTCGCCATATTATAGAATGGATATAAATTCACTTGAACGTGTCCAGCGTAGGATGACTAAGTTAATTCCCCAAATTAGAAATCTTTCATATGAAGAAAGATTAACAAAGCTTAAGTTGCATTCACTGGAAAGGCGAAGAGTTAGGGGCGACATGATAGAGGTTTACAAGTGGGTGAATGGACATAACAAGGGGGATATTAATAGGGTATTAAAAGTATCAACACAGGACAGAACACGAAACAATGGGTATAAATTGGATAAGTTTAGATTTAGGAAAGACTTGGGTAAATACTGGTTCAGTAACAGGGTTGTTGATTTGTGGAACCAATTGCCGCGTAACATTGTGGAGGTGGGGTCCCTCGATTGTTTCAAGCACGGGTTGGACAAGTATATGAGTGGGATTGGGTGGTTATAGAATAGGAGCTGCCTCGTATGGGCCAATAGGCCTTCTGCAGTTACCTTTGTTCTTATGTTCTTATGTTCACAACACCATCTAGCTCGTATCTTGTAACTCTATCATCATTACCTAACCTCAGAACTTTACATTTATCAGCATTAAACTGCATCTGCCAATCCTTTGACCATTTCAAAACCCTATCTAGATCAACTTGAAGTGATAGTGAGTCCTCCTCCGAATTAATTTCCCTACCGATTTTCGTATCATCGGCAAATTTGCAAATGTTGCTACTCAAACCTGAATCTAAATCATTTATATATATTATAAACAACAGAGGTCCCAGGACAGAGCCTTGAGGCACTCCACTTACAACATTTTCCCACTCTGACTTGATTCCATTTATACTAACTCTCTGTTTCCTTTGGTATAGCCATGCCCTAATCCAGCTTAATATAGCACCCCCAATACCATGAGACTCTATTTTTTTAATCAGTCTTTCATGTGGCACTGTATCAAAAGCTTTGCTAAAGTCAAGGTATACAACATCGCAATCCTTACCACTATCAACTGCCTCAACAATGCTAGAATAAAAAGATAACAAATTTGTTAAACATGAACGGCCATTTATAAAACCATGTTGCGACTCAATTATTAATTTATGTTTTTCAAGATGAAGACGAATTTTATTTGCTATTATAGATTCGAGTAACTTTCCCACAATAGACGTTAGGCTAATTGGTCGATAGTTAGACGCAAGTGATCTATCTCCTTTCTTAAAAACTGGTATCACATTAGCAACTTTCCAAAACTCTGGCACTCTGCCTGACTCTATTGATTTATTAAATATGGTTGACAGTGGGTCACAAAGCTCCTCTTTGCATTCTTTAAGCACCCTAGCAAACACTTCATCCGGCCCTGGGGATTTGTTTGGTTTGAGTTTTACTATTTGTTTAAGAACATCCTCCCTGGTAACTGCTAAACTCGTCAACCTGTCCTCGTCCCCACCCACATAGACTTGTTCGGCTGAAGGCATATTGTTAAGTTCCTCTTTAGTAAATACAGATACAAAATATTTATTAAAAATACTACTCATCTCTTCATCACTATCTGTTATTTGACCTGTCTCAGTTTTTAATGGACCTATCCTTTCCCTAGTCTTAGTACGATATAACTGAAAAAACCCTTTAGGATTTGTCTTTGCTTGCCCTGCTATGCGAACTTCATAGTTTCTTTTTGCTTTCCTTATCTCTTTTTTAACATTTCTAACCAGTTGTACGAATTCCTGTTCTAAAGTGACCTCCCCATTTTTAATCCTTTTGTACCAAGCTCTCTTTTTACCTATAAGGTTCTTCAAATTCTTTGTTATCCACTTTGGGTCATTAGTATACGATCTATTCAATTTGTATGGTATACTACGTTCCTGTGCTTTGTTTAGAATATTCTTAAATAAGTTATATATTGAATCCACATCGAAATCCCCATTTAAGTCACCTATCGCTGGGTTCATGTCTCGCTCCAAGACCGGCCCACACCCCATACCCAAGCCTTTCCAATCAATTTGACCCAAAAAATTTCTTAGGCTATTAAAATCAGCTTTTCGAAAATCTGGCACTTTAACAGAATTTTCTCCTACTGGTCTATTCCATTCTATGCTAAATCTGATTTCTTTGTGATCACTGCTCCCTAGCTCACTCCCTATTTCGATGTCATTAATTTGCGTTTCCCTGTTAGTTAACACTAAATCTAAAATATTATTTTCCCGTGTTGGTTCCTTAATGTGTTGCGTAAGAAAGCAATCGTCAATTAATTCTAGAAAATCTTCTGCTTCACTATTCCCTGTTTTGTTCAACCAGTTTATTCCGCTAAAATTAAAGTCACCCATGACATAAATACTGTTAGATCTAGATGCTCTAGATATTTCATCCCATAGATGCTTTGCTTCCATTCTGTCTAAATTTGGTGGCCTATATATTACTCCTATTATAATATTATTAGCTTTTTCGTTTAATTCAATCCAAATAGTTTCTGTGTGTGGCTCTGTTTTGATTCCCTCTTTGAGACTACATTTCAAATTGCCCCTAACATATATGGCTACTCCACCTCCTCGTCTAATATATCTATCTGTGTGAAATAGTTTAAATCCATATATTTGATATTCAGCTAATAGTTCTCTATTTTCTACATTCATCCACGTTTCGGTAAGTGCAATAATATCTATTTTTTCTGTGCAGACAAGAGCATTTAATTCGTTAATTTTATTTCTTAGACTTCTACTGTTAGTGTAATATACCCTAAGTGAATTGTTATTTTGCGGACCTTCTCTTTCCCTGATCGTTTTGCCAATTCCTTTCTCCCACAAACACATACTTTTATTACCTCCTTCCTCCAAATCAATTCCCATACCTCTATCTACTAACAGTTTAAACCCAAACAAACACCTCTAACCACTTCTTCTAGCGAGTTCGCAACAGCAACAACCCCAGCTCTCGATAGATGCACCCCATCACGAGCATACATTTCATTTCTTCCATAGAAGTGTTCCCAGTTGTCTATGAAAGATATTGCATTTGATTTGCAAGTGATCTATCTCCTTTCTTAAAAACTGGTATCACATTAGCAACTTTCCATAACTCTGGCACTCTGCCTGACTCTATTGATTTATTAAATATGATAGACAGTGGGTCGCAAAGCTCCTCTTTGCATTCTTTAAGCACCCTGGCATACACTTCATCCGGCCCTGGGGATTTGTTTGGTTTGAGTTTTACTATTTGTTTAATTACATCTTCCCTGGTAACTGCTAAACTAGTCAACCTGTCCTCGTCCCCACCCACATAGACTTGTTCAGCTGAAGGCATATTGTTAAGTTCCTCTTTAGTAAATACAGATATAAAATATTTATTAAAAATACTACTCATCTCTTCATCACTATCTGTTATTTCACCTGTCTCAATTTTTAATGGACCTATCCTTTCCTTAATCTTTGTCCGGTATAACTGGAAAAACCCTTTAGGATTTGTCTTCGCTTGCTCTGCTATGCGAACTTTATAGTTTCTTTTTGCTTTCCTTATCTCTTTTTTAACATTTCTAACCAGTTGTACGAATTCCTGTTCTAAACTGACTTCCCCATTCTTAATCCTTTTGTACCACGCTCTCTTTTACCTATAAGGTTCTTCAGATCCTTTGTTATCCACTTTGGATCATTAGTATTCGAGCTATTCAATTTATATGGTATACTACGTTCCTGGGCTTTGCTTAGAATATATTTAAATAGGTTATATTTTGAATCCACATCGAAAACCCCTTTTACGCTGGGTTTACGTCTAGCTCCAAGACCGGCCCACACCCCATACCCAAGACTTTCCAATCTATTTGACCCAAAAAATTCTTAGGCTATTGAAATCAGCTTTTCGAAAATCAGGCACTTTAACAGAATTTTCTCCTACAGATCTATTACATTCAATGCTAAATCTGATTTCTTTATGATCACTGTTCCTTAGCTCACTCCCTATTTCGATGTCCTTAATTTGTGTTTCCCTGTTAGTTAACACTAAATCTAAAATATTATTTTCCCGCGTTGGTTCCTTAATGTGTTGGGTAAGAAAGCAATCGTCAATTAATTCTAGAATTAATTTACGATTGTAAATTAAACTGTAAATATACACATTCTGAAGACAAATTCAAACTGCTCACCTTGAGATTTTAGTCATGAAGATGACGACAGCTGCCAGGAGGCTGAAGATGATAGCACCTGGAAGGAGGGAGGCCCACAGGGGCCAGATATCACTCTGGGACCAAATATTGTCTGGGGAGGCGTCGCTCGTGGCGTTGCTGCTGCTGCTGTTGGCTGTTGTAGCAAAGCTGGATACTTGCGTTGTTTGTACAGTGTTATGGTACATTTTCTCAGGATGTATGTCCGTATATATGAACAGTGGTCAACACGATATCGGAGCCAGGAGCGAGTGGTGGCGTCAGCCCGGGGTCAGAGAGGATACTACAGGCCGCTTCTCATGCTGGTCTGAACCTCTCGCAGCCTAATTCCCAAACATAACGAACCAAATATATCCTAAATACCTCATGTATTTTAAGATATCTAAATATACCATTGCCGATATATTGGAACAAATTTAACAGTGAGATATGATACAGTTTGGCTGCTATAATACATGTTAATTATAGCGTGGCTACTCCCTTAGGAATTCATGGGATAACGCGATATCCTAATCTGGTACCATCGTGTCAGTAAGATAACGTCTCAACCTCCCTCGGTAAATGACACTGGTTCTACTTGTCTTCACTTCCTTCTATCGTTTCTTCATACTTTATTCCGATATCCTCTTTTAATAAAACTAGCTATTTATTAAAGAAGAGTAATTTACAATTTTATTCAGTGGTTGGTTTCAGTTTGAGGAGAATGCATAGAATAGTGTTCACGGTGCTGTAGTTTTAACGGGTTGTATTCTATGGAAATATTAGAATGATTTTGCCTTTTTATTTTTTGCTAAAAAAATAAATATCGAAAATTTTATGTGTGTAGAAATTTATTTAGATTTAATTAAACAATATCATTCGACCATAAACAAAATTCAACGATGATGCCTCTCAATGAATATAATTTGGATAAGTTTTTTTCTTCAGAAATCATATTGTGAACTGAGTTTCATTTCTAGTATTACATTTCCTTGAAACGCAAGGATTATCGTCATAGCCTCATTACGTGTGTGTGTGCTAACCAAGGTCAAGTATGTTTATTGAGACAAGAAAATACATCTCAAAGGGTTAAAGTAGCTTAGGCTATTTCTAACCCCCCAATGTGCGCTAATTTTCTGAGTAGCTTGCCCTGTTTGAGGCAAAATGAGAATCATTATAGTCTATCGGGAATCAATTAGTGGATTTCATAATATAAATATAGATTAATGGAACGAGAATACGATAGTTTTGGGAGTCGTGATTATTTTACGACTTATCTGGTAGTCGTTATTATTTGGGATATAATATAAAGCCCCCCAAAAGTGCATAAATGTTTGAAAATAAGTCAAATAGGATACAGGTATTTATTGCCAGACCTTTAGTTAGAAAACACCATGTGGTTACTAAACCACACACCAGAAGATGAAGGGACGACTACGCTTCGGTCCGCTCTGGACCATTATCAAGTCGATTGTGGTAATCGAGTTGATAATGATACAGGACGGACCGATAATGGTCCAGTACGGACCGATAATGCTTCAGGACGGACCGATAATGGTCCAGTACGGACTAATAATGGTCCAGGACGGACCGACAATGCTCCAGGACGGACCGATAATGATCCAGTACGGACCAATAATGGTCCAGGACGGACCGATAATGCTCCAGGACGGACCGATAATGGTCCAGTACGGACCGAAACGTGGTCGTTTCTTCATCTGGAGTATGGTTTGGTCATCATATCTTTGGCTACATGATTGTGACTCATCGTCTGCAACATGAAAACACCCACTTCAATTCAACATGAAAACATTCTTCAATCTCATCTTGCTCTCGTTAGCACCCATTTAGATTATGCAGGGATTTTTTTCCCAAAACTGTAGCCGACATCAAGTTCAAGTAACGTTTATTGAGACAATAAAATACATCTCAAAGGGATAGAGTAACTTAGGCTATTTCTGCCCCGCAATTGCTGAGATAACGTTGCCGGAGCGGACGCAGAGGGGGGGATGATGAGTCGATTCCAGGAATTAGAGACCTATGTGAAGAAATTGGGAAAGCTTATTTTGCATTCCCTGGAAAGGCAACAAGTGGGAATGATTGATTGATTGATTGATACAGATTAAGCCACCCAAGAGGTGGCACGGTCATGAATAGCCCGTAAGTGGTACAATTTTTTTTTGTTCAGTAATTCTTTTCAGTATTCTGAGGTCGCATTTAATCGTCAAGCTGTTATCGCGGGGGAGGATATTGCTTGACAGTCTTTATGAGGGTGTCCAGCTGCTGGACACCTTTTAATGACCAGGAGAGTGGCTGTGTTGATGGCTTCAGGGTGGCCACTGCAAGATTCAGGGACTCTTAAAGCTCTTCTAAGGTCGTTGGCTGCTTCAGATTCCAGAAGATAGTGAAGTAATGGCTTTTCTGTGACAGTTTGGCAAAGTGGGAATGGGGTTATTAATGAGATATAAGAGTGAGATTAATGAGGGGGTTAAAAAAAAACGGAGGAGACATCTCCCGTCACGCAGGGTGCAGTCACACCTCCACAGATCTCCAGTATTGACTCCAGTATAAATTGTAAGTGTTGGCCACCACTTACGGGCTATTCATGCCTGTGCCACCTTTTGGGTGGTTTAATCTTCATAAATCATCAATCGGGGGTTAAAAAAAAATACGGGCCCATGCTATATGGAAATTTTGTACCTAGTAGCTGAATCTAAAACAACAACAATAGTGGATTAAGTTTACGGGTTATTCATGCCCGTGCCACCTCTTGGGTGGCTTAATCTTCATCAATCAATCAAGAACATAAAAATCAATTAAACTGCACAAGACCTATTGGCCCAGACTTGGCAGCTCCTAGTTATATCCCCTCAAACTCACTCATATATGTCTAACCTACGCTTGAAGCAAACAAAGAGATGCTACGTCTTTTATGTTACCCGATAATTGGTTCATTAAATCGACAACCCTGTTACCGAACCAGTATTTACCCAGGTCTTTCCTAAATCTATAACCTTATCCAATTTATACCCATTGTTTCGAGTTCTGTCTGTGTTGATACATTTAATACCCTAATAATATCCCCAATTATTATTATTAGGGAGACATTTCCTCCCATTAGGGAGAAAAGTGAGACCAGACCACACACTAGAAGTTGAAGGAACGACGACGTTTCGGTCCGTCCTGGACCATTCTCAAGTCGATTGTGATCGACTTGTGATCGATCACAATCGACTTGAGAATGGTCCAGGACGGACCGAAACGTCGTCGTTCCTTCAACTTCTAGTGTGTGGTCTGGTCAACATACTTCAGCCACGTTATTGTGACTCATCGCCTGCAAAAGTGAGACATTTCCTTAGTATATAGGATAAAGGATATAGCCTTAGGGCTATATCCTTTTATCCTCCCTTAAGGTTGGTCACATTTTGTGCTCATAGGTTCACTTGTCTGTAAGCATTTACAGTTGTAATTACTTAAATTGTAAGTGTTGGTTGGTTAGAGTAAAGTTGGTTACCCCACACAGTGAGAATTAGGTCACTTGGGGAATTTACATTTCTAAAATTGTTAAATAATGATATTTCTGACATTTTTTATTTTACTGTGGCAAAGCTTATGGGATCAGTGGGGGGGAGGGAGAGCAGGTGCAATCTGAGTATGTTAAATACATCACAAGTCCTAATTAGGAGTGTATCGAAAAGCTTCTACCATAAGAGTATTAATGTCATTTGTTAAGCATTTTGTTGCACTATATCCCAGGAATTAATACAGTTTTTTTTAAGCATTTTGTTTGCATTATATCCCAGGAATTAATGCCATTTTTTAAGCATTTTGTTTGCTTTATATCCTAGGAATTAATGCCATTTTTAAGCATTTTGTTGCATTATATCCCAGGAATTAATGCCATTTTTAAGCATTTTGTTTGCATTATATTCCAGGAATTAATGCCATTTTTTAAGCATTTTGTTTGCATTATATCCCAGGAATTAATGCCATTTTTAAGCATTTTGTTTGCATTATATCCCAGGAATTAATGCCATTTTTAAGTATTTTGTTTGTATTATATTCCAGGAATTAATTCAATTTTTTAAGCATTTTGTTTGCATTATATCCTAGGAATTAATGTTATTCTATTAAGCATTTTGTTGCAATATGTCCCAGGAATTAATGCCATTTTTAAGCATTTTGTTGCATTGTGTCCCAGGAATTAATGTCATTTTTTAAGCATTTTGTTGCATTATATTCCAGGAATTAATGTAATTCTATTAAGCCTTTTGTTGCATTATATCCTAGGAATTAATGCCATTTTGTAAGTATTTTGTTTCCATTATATCCCAGGAATGTATTATAATCCATATGGAAAACACAATTTGTATTTATGAACAAATTAAATGTTCCTAAATTTTATTAGGAATTTATATTATTATATATATTCACAATTCAGTTGCACTTAAAAACATTTATTTAAAAAGAAAATGTTGCCAGAGTTTTAATGAAAAATCACAATAGTCGAGTATTTAATGGAACATATGCTATTTATTTAAATAGCCGTTATCCCTAATACTTGCTAGTATCGGCGATAATAGTGTAATGGCCATGTATTGCCTTGTTATCTGGTTCAATGTTGTTCGTTAGCTGGTTCGTTGTTATTCGTTATCTGGTTCGTTCTTATTCGTTACTATCATGTTCAGAGCAGGCGCTGCTACCTGTTTGCGTGCCGTTGCGTTTCATACGTCCATCTATGTAAACACATCATACGCCGTCTATGTAAACAGATCATACGCCATCTATGTCTGGTTCATTGTTATTCGTTATTTTCATGTTCAGAGCAGACGCTGCTACCCGTTTGTGTGCCGCTGCGTTTCATACGCCGTCTATGTAAACAGATCATACGCCATCTCCGCGTATGCAGTTCCGCCATCTCCAAACAGTCTCCGTGGTGTAGTGGTAAGACACTCGCCTGGCGTTCCGCGAGCGCTATGTCATGGGTTCGTATCCTGGCCGGGGAGGATTTACTGGGCGCAAATCCTTAACTGTAGCCTCTGTTTAACGCAACAGTAAAATGTGTACTTGGATGAAAAAACGATTCTTCGCGGCAGGGGATCGTATTCCAGGGACCATAGGATTAAGGACTTGCCCGAAACGCTACGCGTACTAGTGGTTGTACAAGAATGTAACTCTTGTATATATCTCAAAATCTATGTAAATAAAG